TAAGCCCTGAAAGTACATATGTTCACTGCCTTGATACTTGACCTTTTTTCTTAAAGGCAACATATATTAGATGATACATAGTTGTGTCTTAGAAATGATAAAACCAACTTTATTTGAAAATGACGAAATTTTAGGAAAACTCTTAAAATTGTTGTAACTTTTGATCAGTTTAAGAAAATTGACATATTTATATATTTTCTTAAAGGGAATTCAACTCTCTACAACTTACTACTGGATAATTTCTTTGGTAAATGAATAGTTTAGACGATATAAAGGAATGTTTGATGAAAAATGTTGTCTAAAACTATTCTATTCGAAAATTTTCACTTTTCAGGAGTGTACAGCTCGAAATCGGTTGCGATTTCGAAAAAAAAACTGCATTAATAAATAATTTAATAAGCTTTTATTTGGTATTTGAAACTTTTCTCTACGACGCACCATTTTCGAGATATAAGCGAAAAACCCAAAAGTGTGATCTCATTTGTGCCCTCCCCCCTCCAGCACATCTCTTAGACGTCAGGACTTTTAGTATGTTCACTCTCTAAGCACCCTAAATCAGTTTTTAAAGCAATCGCATAGGTCCTTTCTCACGCCCTCTACACCTCCTTTTCTGAGTGGATTAACAGTTAATGTTTTAAGTTCCATTGTTTTAAATGTGCAATTTTAGTTTTTATATTTCTAATAATTTGAGTGATGTATCAGTTTTAATAACTGCGTTCATAAGATTTAAATTTAGAAACCAGAATATCAGGTATTATATAAGGAAGTTACTGCTTCATCCACATCAACAGGATTCTCCAAAAATTACCAGTGTAAATAAAATAATGCAATAATTTACAGAATGTTACATTAAAAAAAATTGAATAAAATGAACTTAAAATTAGTAATATTTATGACACTTTCCATAACAATTGATATAAATTATACCACTTCCATCATCACTATTCGTTATTTCGGTACCTTCTAATGGAGGCCCTACATGCTTCGATATAGCCTGTGAGATTTGGACTGTACAATATATGGATTAAGTCCATAACTCAACGTGAAGTGCTCAATCTGACTCACATTTGGACTCTCCTCTTTTGTCCATTGGAAAGAGTGAAATAAGCTGATCAAATCTTGTCTTTAGATCAGAACTGTGCGTTTTGGCCTGCAGGCCATATCAGAGCATAGGGCCTCCATGATGGACTCAATTGATGGACTGTAGAGTTCAAATCTCACACAAATCGTAGCGTGTAATAGAGCCCCTACGCACTTCGATATGGTCTGCAGGCCAAAATGCACAGTTCTGATCTAAAGGCAAGATCTAATCAGCTCATTTTACTCTTTATCTTTACATTAGACAAAAGAGGACAGAAGAGGAGAGGCCAGATGTAAGTCAGATCGAGCACTTCACGTTGTTATGGATTGAATCGATGGACTGTACAGTTTAAATCTCACAAAAATTGTAGCGTTAGGGCCCCTCCTTTAGTTCATAACTCAACGTGAGGAGCTTGATCTGACTCACATCTGGCCTCTCCTCTTTTGCCTAATGTGAAGTGTAAAATTAGCTGATTAAATCTTGTTTTTGGATCATAACTGTGCGTTTTGGCGTGCAGGTCATATTTGACTCATTTTGGAATCATTGCTAGCCTACTAAAATAATTATGATAATTATTTATATTTAGCTGTATCATTCTCTAATTTCACAATAAATTATTATATAAGCTACCCTGTAATATTACATAATATTCTGGAATTGAATAGAGAATGACTTAAATAAAATACAGGGAGTTCTATTTAAAAATTATATGTTTTCATTTTCAGACAAAAGCAGCTGGCACTTTAAAAAATATTTTTAAAGTATACCTTTTTCATATCCCAATAACTTTTGTTTATACCTTCTTTGTGTATCTATAACACAAATTAAGTATGCACTAAATAATTACCCAGTATGTTATTTATCTACTTTATCTAAATTTTTTAAAATTTGACTTTGTTTTTAACCAATTACTATTGTTGCGTGGGAATAAATGCTTAAAAATATTACACAATTTATTCTTATTTAATAGGTTAACAAAGGGGAAGATATATATAAACATACATGCATATAATATGAATTTTTATATTTGAAAATTTTCGGAATTTTTATTTAAACCCAAAATATTTCTGTCTACATTTTTAATTTCCCAGAATATTGAATTATAAAATATAACGTTACGAAAATAAAGTAAATGCAATTTCCTGACAACGATAATAAAATAAATAAAAATCGGAGTCCATTGACTTACCTAAGCAAAATGCATTAACCTGAACTTCAAAATACTAAACAATATTAGAAAAATTCAAGGTTAAGATGTCACTAGTCCCATAAAAATATTATTCTCTTCGACATGTTTGGAAATTCAAACAACGGAATTGATCAATATATAAAAATGTTCTACCGACATTTCCTCTGTACAGTGTTTTCCCCTTTTTTCGTGCAGGGGTTATACAGGTATGTAAAAGGGATGCCTTAAAAATAACGAATTTTTAATTTTTTGATTATCAAAATTAATATACACAATTATCTTTTGAAATATTATTTATATTTTAAGTCAAACAGTAGTAATATTTTTTAGTTTCCAAAAATGACCTAGTTTTTTAGTAAAATATAAAAAATGATCATTGATTTTGTTAAATTTCATTACCTTTACGAAATAATAAATTTATCTCCTTAATATACATGATTTTACAACATAAAGAGGTATTTCTTGGGTGTACTTTTATTATTAGATATAATTTATTTTTTAGAATATTTTTTGACCTTTAATTCTTGCCCTGAAATATAAAATAATATTCTACAGTGGTTCGATAGACAAGGTTCCCTATGGGGGAAAATTATTAATTTTATTTTTATCAAAAAATGTAATTCTTGACAAAAAGTCCTGTTTGTTCTAATAAGTGAAACATTTTATTCTTTAAGTGATTTATTTAATTTTAGAGTTAATTTTTGAACAGATTTTATGAATTATAGTTTAAAAATGTCTTAGATTTTACCATTACAAAAGTCTTGTCAAAAACTACATCCTTATTGCAAATGCTTTTAAATATATTATGTGGATATCATCTTATGTATATTGTGAAAATTGTCATGGAACAACATGGCTTTTGTTGATCCATGACAATTTCCTCAGAATACATAAGATAATTTCCACAAAATAGATTTAAACGAATTTGTAATAAGGATGCAGTTTTGGCCAAAACTTTTGTTGGATAAGTTAAATTAGCTATAAATCTGTATATTCGGAAAAACGGAAGTCAAAGAGCGAAAGAGATAAATTCGAATATCACAATTCTCACTTATTCTAGGGTTTTAGAACTAGCAAGCTTTTTATTAAGAATTACATTTTTTTTTTAAATATCAAAATAAACAATTTTCCCTTTATAATGAACCTTATTCGCGGACACACTAAAGCTATATTTTTTAATTTTTATATGATTTTATTAAATTGACATTACTACCAAATGTTTGCAATCTAATCTGTAAAATAATCTTTCCTGGATGTAAAATATCATTAAATATTTTAATATTAGCTAAGATTTCAGTCATTTATTTGCATATCATCAGGCTCCTGAAAATATATTAGTTAAAAAAATTAAAACCAAATAAATAAGAGTATGAAATTTTTAAAAATATAGTTTTATACAGTGTGTCTACTTAAGTTGGAACCATGTGGAAAACTTTTTTATTATTGATTTTGTAAAACAATTTATTCTTGATAAAAAGTTCTGTGTGGTCCAAAACTTAAAATGCCAACCATCAGATTTTAATTTTTTAAAACCATATACGAGGTTTGTTAAAAAATATGAATTTTACCTTAATTTTTTACAATACAGAAGATTGTTATGAAATAAAGATATTTTGAATTAAAAGTTATCTTCAAATATACAATTACAGTCATTTACATAAAAATAGGATAGGTGATTATTTACGTTTTACAATATAAATTATTTGTAGTTATAAATTAAATAATCACCAAAATTGAATTTTATTGCTAAATGACTGTAATTTTAAATTTAAATATAACTTTTAATTCAAAATAACTTTACTTTATAATATTCTTCTGTATTGTAAAATGAGAAAAATTCATATTTTTTAACAAACCTCGTATATGGCTTAAAAAATTGATATCTGATGGTTGCATTTTAAGTTTTGGACCATGCAGATCTTTTTATCGGAAATAAATTTTTTCAAAACCAATAATAGAAGTTTTCCATATGGTTTCCTCAAGTATACACACTGTATATGAGTATGTAATAATTAATGTTAATTGTCTTTTAATTAAATTTGATAAAACACAAACACGATTCATCATTTTACAAATTAAGATCTAAACTACTGTTCAATCTTAATTTGAAAAATATAATTTTTAAATTAAAATATTAGCAGAAATTAAAATTTCGTTAAATTTATAATTGAACTCAAACATGTCATCAATAAATTATATTACAAAATAGTAGTCATTTCCTACGAATATATTTCATACCAGTAGGAAATAGCATTTTTTGCGAGTTGAACACTAGTGGGTCCATGGATGGACTTAACTGTATTTATTTATTTTAAATTTTTTAAAAAAGTCTATCTTCATAATTTATTTAACAAATAAATACGATTCATGTAAAGAAACTTCTGATTTCTTGTATTTGATTTTCTTGTACAAGGTGCGCAAAAAATTCAATTGTGGATTTGCAAAATTAAAAATTCAAATATTGTGTTTTAATAAAAAAAAATAATTTTTCTTTTCGAGTTCTCCTTATAAACTTCTCATTATAAACACATTATATTTTTACTTAATCAACAATAGTTGAGAAAGTGCTTTATATTACAGTCTTAGAAAATAGTTTTTTTTATATTTACCAAATCCATTTTATCTTGTTATATGTTTCACCAACTCAGTTGGTAGACTCAAGAGGATAATTAATTTTAATTCGTTTTTCAGAACATATTATTAACAGTGTATTTTTTTTTCTAGGTCACCATGGGTCTATATGCGGTCCTATTCGTCTCATCATTTTTGGTCATCGGTGCCTACGGCAGCTGCTGCAAGAATCTCATCCCGGATCTCAGCTTCAAGTTGACTGGTACCGAGTTGGCATTCCCATGTGAAAGTACCAAAAACATCTACAAGACCACAGGACGTTATGTTGCCAAGAACATAATTGCCACTAGGATGCAAATCTACAAAGACGATGCTTTCGTCGCCCTTCCCAGATACAGACATGGAGTACCATTCACTCTAGCTAGATTCTCTTTGAAGACCAGAGGATGCAAAGCTACTTTAGTGCCATACCCATGCTGGCCTCTTCAAGAAGAAGGTAACTGTGAAGCTTTCCAGAACGTTGTTGATTTGTACAATGATGGCGCTGAAATCTTATGGATTTTGGATATTGGTTTGGTTAACACTTTGGAACAACCCGTACGTAGATGCTCTCCCAAAATTGTAGGAATTAGCTTGAAAACTAACCAAGTAGTGAAAGTTGTAAGCTTGGAACCATTCATCACACCAGAAAGTAGACTCCAATACATCATCGTAGATTACACCAAAGAAGGAAATCCTTTTGCATACATTGCTGATGGAGGTTCAGGAGCTATCATCGTTATTTGCTTGAAGATGGACACTGGATTCCGTGTAGTACTTCCAAGAGCCGTAGCTTTAGGATGTCCCGATGATGTTAAAGATGTTTTGTACATTGCTTTGGCAAGAAAACCATGCGGAAACGTACTATACTTCACCTACCTTTCCTCTCCAAGATTGTTCTCCATCAAGACCCAATTCTTGCAGAAAGCACAAGCCAGCGGTGCAGTCATAGATGTTGGATCTAAACCACCATTCGGAAAAATCGTTCTACTCGGAACTGACAATGGAGCAGCTATCTTCTTCAGGTACAAAGGTGAATCTGACATATTCATCTGGAACAGTGAGACTGCTTTCAAACCAGAAAACTTCTTGTTGGTCCAAAAGGGTGATGACTGCAGATTGGCCACTCAAGTTGTTGCTGGTTATAAGAAACTCATGTGGGCCATTGAAAGTAACTTCCACGATTATATTCTTGAAACTGCTGGAAGTCTGGGACCATCCATGGCTGTACATCCTCTTATCAAGACCTGCGATTAGATGTAGTATTTGTTGAAGTACTTTTTAGATTTTACGAATTTATCTGTGATCCTGTGTAATATTTGCACATTTAGGTTTAATAAAATAGTTTTAATAAAATATGATTTTTTGTTTAATAATTATAGATTACCTATTACTAAAAAATTGTAAAACATACCTTTACTATTTCCTACTAAAAAAAAAATAATAGGAAATTTGGCAAAACATACAGGGTTTCATTAAGAATAGGACACAGAACAATTAAAGAGTCTCTGATAAAAAAGAAGACAATTAAATTAAACATGTCAGAGTAAAATTTTACTCGTTTCTGAAATACAAAGCTTAAAAGTATGAAAATTCATAAATTTTTAATGGCTATAATTTTTAAATCACTTAGTATAATTTTACTAAATTTCTTAAACGTTTTTGGTGTCATAAGATACACCAATTGGAAAAACAATCAGTTAAATAAACTTTGCCAGTGGCGTACGGCATGGGTAAGGAACACCTTCATCCCTTCTAAATTTTACGCCATTATCCAAAAACTTATTTGGACTATAATTTTAAATGTTTTGATCTTTCTTAAAAAAATCATGTACTCTTGGAAATTTATAAAAAAATCAAAATTACAAAATTAAAAACTAAATCAAAATAAAGAATATCCACCATTGAGTGTAAATATCTCTAAATCCAATCGTATTATGAGTTCCCAACAAGAGTACATGATTTATTAAAAAAAAAATATCAAGAAATTTAAAATTATAATCCACATAAGTTTTTGAACAGAGTCGTAAAATTTATAGGAGATGAAGATGTTGCTTATCTATGCTGTCCGCAACTGGTAAAGTTTATTTAACTGATTTTTTTTGCTGATAAGGATATCCTGTTTACGAGTTTAGTAAAATTTTACTGAGAAATAAAATGATAGTCATTAAAAATTTTTGAATTTTCAAACTTTAACACCATGTATTTCAGAAAGGAGTAATATTTTATCTAAGTATGTTTCGTTTAATCGTTCTATTTTTAATTAGAGAATCTTCAGTTGTTCTATGTCATTTTTAATGAGATAACCTGTATGTACATTAAATACTTTTCTAATCAACGACGAGTAGTTTTTCGTCGTTGTCTCCAATCAAGGTACCTGCTTTTAAATCTTGACATTATCCATTAACTCTAAGATTATTGAAAATGGACAACATAAAATCCATAAAAGTTTATGTTTTACCACTTATTAATATTTCTAATTTGTAATATGTTGTTAATATTAACTTTTTTAAAGAGTAAATTTAATTTTGAAAAAATACGTTTAAATAATTTGCAAAATTGTTAAAAAAATTTGCTACCTACTCTTGCAGGAATACTATCCCACACATCGTGTGGAACAGGTTACTTTCTGCACAATATACTATTTCATTATATTTAAATACCTAATAAGAATTTTCAAGTTCTGTAATTTAGATTTAGCCAAATATGATTTACTAAAACAAGTCGCACCTCTAGAAGAACAGTGACATATTTAAAATTTTTTATTTTCTTTGCAATAAAATATAAAAACACTGAAATGTATCGGGAAACAATGACCCAACTTGTACTTCTATTATTTGCCGGAGATGGTAGTAGAGTCACTGTTTTATTGTATCGAATTTCCATTTAGCTTAGTGCAACAGTGTCATTTCTTAATTCGTTGCGTATGAATGTCTGTTTTGTAATTCTCGAGCTTGAAGAACAGCGTCACAAATCAATAAATATCGTTTTAGTTAAACTGTTACTAAGAAGAATAATGTCATAAGTGGTATTAAGACGTTTTTTTTATATTTATATGAAAATACTTTCATAATTTAAATTATGATGTTATTCAACTTGTTTTATTTATCTTTGTTAATATTAGGACTTTGCTACTGGAAACTTTTTGAAATCTAATGTTATTCCCTTAGGTGTACTATTAATTCTGTCATTATTGTTTTGAAAACAGTAAAAACAACCTTTCGATTTAGTTTAACTTTATGATATATTTTATTAATGGTTTCACGACTAGCCGAACTAAAATAAAATATAGAAGAGAACAACTTAAATAGAAGTAATTATAATAGAACCATTTAATCAACATAAAGTGGGTTTTGATGATGAGATTTTTAAATCACAAAATAAGTTAGCTTTACGTACATTTTGTATAGACACATGTTGGCTTATATTCCAGAAAATGGAGAAAGAACCTGGAAGGTGAATTACATTGTCCCAAAAACATACCGGCAAATTAGCCTGGCATCGTTTTTTATAGAGACATTGGAAGGCTATTCGAAATGTATATAAGGGATGTGATAATTAGAACAACACTCTTACACCCAAATCAACATGCATATACCCTAGGCAGATCTACTGATTCAGCCCTTCACCTAGTCACTGGCCAGATAGAGAGATCCCTGAACATTAAAGAGCCTGCTTTGGGTGTCTTCAGAGATATAGAAAGTGCTTTGGAGAAAACCATCTTCCCCAAGATAATACACTTACTAACCAACAGGAATGTTCCACAGTTATTTAGTGCATGGATACAGAAGGGTAAACCAGCTGAACGGGCCGATGTTAATTGTGAACCACACTTAAACATCAAGTTTGGTGTGGCATTTCGTGTAACGTTTCTAACATTCAGTCGTTGGTAAATTCAATAATGGATAGGTACACCATTGAGCAAAGCGTTAGGTCGTTGAAAATATGCGTTCAAATTAAAAGTCATATCGTGCACTTCGTGATTTTTTTGGTTAGCATAATCAACCAAATATGCGTATGTGAAAACAATTGTGCGTGTTCGTAGAGTTTATACTGCGGAAAACATTGCTACTGTTCGGAAAAGTGTGGCAAAAGAGCTGCCTACATCGACTCGCCGTCGTAATTAACAATTGCATATCTTACAGAATTTACACGCTTAAGGATCAATTAACTCAAGAACTGAAGCCTATAGATCATTTGAAGCGTCGTCAATATGCCGAATGTGGACTTTAGGGAGAAAATCATGTTTAGCGATGAGACACACTTTCACCTCGGTGGATTCGTCAACAAGCAGAATTGCCGCATTTGGGCAAATGAGAATCCAAGAGTGCCGAGAAAAAGCCGATGCATCCACAAAGAGTGATTGTTTGGTGCGGTTTATGAACTGGCGGCGTCATCGGGCCGAAAATGAGGTCGGCCAAGCAGTTATCGTGAATGGTGTTCGCTGTCGCGAGATAATAACAAACTTTTTGTGGCCGGAATTGGGAGATATGGATATGGACGATATGTGGTTCCAACAAGAGGGTGCCACTTCCTAAGGAGTTAACGAAACAATGGTTCTCTTGGGCGAAAAATTCAATGGCCGTGTTATCTCACGGAATGGTGATGTCAATTTTCATGCGATTTGACACCGTAAGACTTATTTCTTTGGGGTTATTTGATATAAAAGGTGTACGTCGATAAGCCTACAACAATTCAAGAGCTAAAGGATGAGACAACTTGGCACATTTACGACATTGAACCTCAATTATTCCTAAGCGTCATCGAAAATATAGACCATCGAATGGAGGTGTGCCTCCGAAGCCGTGTAGAACATTTGGCCGATATTTTACTTCGCAGATGATTGGCTTAAACCATACTATTAGTCGGAACATTTCACGTCATTACTCTAAGTAGATTAAACATTTGCAAAAATGTTGCCATAGGGGTAATAAGTTGCCATCTCGAACGTTTCGATAGGGAGAGAGGCAGACAGAGGTAAAATCCCCCTAAAGTCGTACAATAGTAGTCGAAATTTGTATTATTGCAAGTTTGTTAAAACTTTTTATTTTGCTTGAATTAAAGTGTATGAATAACTATAAAAATTGTCAGATAAAAATCTCAGGCAGAAGGTGTAAGAGCACCCCAAAGATGTATTTTTTTAAATGAAATTTTTTTATTCGTTCTTGTCTGACAACTAAATATGTTATTCTTTTTGACCGTGAAATTTATTTGTCAGACAAAAATTCGGGACAGAAACCATGTAAATACGTTGTAAACTTCTCCTCGCTCGGCCGCCAGTTACCTCAAGCGCGCCATTTATTTCAAAAAGATATTGCAATTTCTATTGGGCGATAATTTTATATTTTTTTGAGTTTTTCAAATAACTTTAAACAAAATAAAAAGTATAAAAAACATTTATATCACGCTTCATTTTGAAGATACACTCCATTCTCCATCTTTTTAAATAATTCATTTATTAAAAAAAATGCACTTAAGTATTCACGTTGGTAATTTCTTTTTTAGTTATCCTACTGATTTCTCGATATATAAGCTGAAAGATAAAAAACATATTTAACTATTTCGAAATTTTGTAATGGATTAATCAATGCGCAATATTATTAAATCTGTGATTATCAAACTTTTGTTTGGAAAAAGAAGGGATTATTATTAAAGATGAAGATCAGAATTATTTATCATAAAAAATATATTAATTACAGAGTAACAAAAAAATTAAACGCATAAATAAAAATATTAACGTTAAACAGGCTCGTCTTCATCTTTCGTCCTGTGTAACACTCATTATCAGACTTGTGTTGATTTCTGTCGTTGCTAATGTCAACGTCATCGTATTCGTCGTCGGAAGAGTGATACTTAATTTCGATTTGTAGTTGCTCGAAAATAATACCGTGGAAAACTTTAAATACTGCCATTTGTTAAGTTTAAAAATGTATAATAATTAAAAAATACCTTCATCATTTTGTGTTTTGTAACGGTTGGAACCGTTTTCGTTATTTTGACACAAACATCTCTACTCAAATGTCATTTGTCGTCAAAAGTTGGTATTTCATTTCGATTTTGTATCTGTCAACGAATCAGTTGATATTAAATTTTAAATTATCTAGGTCATCCGATGTATTAAATCATTTTTATCTATCGTATATGCCGTCTAATTTTGTAAGGTAAGTTTGAATATCAATATATTGTTGAAAATATATATTTTCTATAAAGATTTCTTAATTAAAATGTCAAATTTGAAACATAACCTCAACATGAAT